AGTACATTGCCACACAATGGTGACTCACCACACAGCTGCTGAGTGATAAGGCTGGTGAGAATGCTCCTGAATTCTACCTGTTTAAATCCCAGCTCTTCCCAAGCAAGTTACAAATATCTAAATCTCAATTGTCTCATCTGTAATGTAGGGGAATGACAACTAGAGTTGTTGAAAGATTGCTTAATGAAATACTAAAGTAATATTCCTGTGTTCTCCTCAAGTATAAGAACCATGTTTTCATTCACACAGCCTTAATATGGTGACCATAGGACTAGATAGGAAGTGAATGAAGGACACTTTCCATTAGATATCATTTAAGTATCTGTGAGAATTATAGTTCTTCCAGACAGGAAAAACACAGATTTTTTTAAAAACTCACAGAATTCTGATTACCAGAATTTAATGATAAAGTTGAAAGAGGTATGGAAGAATTATGTAAGCACAGACTAATTCAATAGCAGTAAAGCCAAAGACAAAAACAAAGAAATGTCCTAAGAGAGTTAAAGAAAAGTAAAATCCAATTATCCAGTGAGGAAAATTAGTTACTATCTTAATGGGGAGGGTGGAATTCAATTTACTTAAATCAAGAGGAAAAGATAGTAAAATGGTCTATGTAAACCTTAAGTCAACCCATAAAATGTATGGATTTGGGGTTTTATTACAATGACTCTTGAAAGGATCTTGCTTTGTTGGCCAGTGTCCCAGGGGAAATCCCTCTCTTTTATTTACCAAATATATAGGTAGATTTGCAACCACTATCTGCAGAAATGGTCACCCTATCTTGCTTGTGACGCTCTAATTTGTCAATACTGGGTTGGTGGGTTGGTGAGTTTTGTTGTTAATGTCTGTCTGTCTGTCTGTGTGTGTGTGTGTGTGTGTGTAGTTTGCTCTGGCTCCAAAGTGCTGGGATTACAGGCATGGGCCACCAACCTGCTGGTTGGTGTTTTTAACTCAAATAAATTTAAGAATAGAGTACAGAAATTAAGCAAATCAAACCTAAATTATTAACACTTTCATATTAAATTCAAAAAAATCTTTGAAAGCCTTGGATCAGTTTGTGTATATTTGGTATTTAAAATGCTTGTTTGCTCTAAGAAAAGGTTGTTTATTAAAGTATCTAATACGTTAGCCTCTGACATGAATTTAAATGAGTAACTGGGTAATTAAATTAGGTGGTTAATGTAAAGGTCTAAATAGTACTAGAATGCTTACTAGAACTTTCAAATCACCATCTTAGAAATTAGATTAACATTTCAAGTGAAACTTGAAAGGCTTTAAAATAAAATTGGATATATTAAACTAATAAAAGCAATGGGTGGTATTTAAAGGAAGTTCATTAACTAAGTTTGTAACTGAAATTATTTATTAAGGAAAGTTAATCCACTCAAATTGAGTTGGAGAGACATTAATTAAAGGCTCCCTTGAAAGTAATGTTACAATTGCTATAGTTATATATAGATTAAGATTTGTGAACTTAACTGTTCAATGTATTATTGAGTGTCTGCTATGTGTCAGGCACAATTCTGGGTGCTAGGAATGCAGCAATCAACAAAACAAGGATAAAAACTTATCTCAAGCTGGGTACCAGTGGCTGATGCCTATAATGCTAGCTACTTATGCTTTCTTTCTCTCCTTTCTTCCTTCTTTCCTTCCTTCCTTCCTTTCTCAGGTGACTATCTGGTCCTAAACCCTGGAAGTCAAACTGCTTCTTTAAAGTCTCATTCCAGCAAATAAAGCTTTTGCAAAGTGACCTAAACTCAAAGGAACATTGTTTCCATGGAAAAATGCTAATCAGTCCACACAGCCCTCTTGCAACCAGTCTTCGGAAACATATCCTATTTGTAATTTAATCATTGTTTTGGTAGCTAGAACTCACAAAATTCATACCCAAGGTAGTACCTGCAGTCTACAAAAACCTGTCAAAGCCCAGCAATGCCCTGAACTATCCGTTTCCTGGGGCAAACCCGTCAGAACTTACTGAATTGTGTGACCCAGATGCATTTTCCAGCTGTCCTGGTCCCAGCAGTCACAATTCATATACCCCAAGACTGCCAGAAATATGCTGGGGACTCCTGTAGCAGCTCCTGCTCCATCCACCAGCAGGTTATTCCTCAGGACTGTGAGCAACTGCACAATCTCTGTGCTGGCATTGAGAGACCAAGCAGCAAGTAGATGATCCAGAGGCAAAACTGTACAAAGATTAACTCTTCCAGCTCCACAGTGGAAGAACAGAATTTGAAGCCCAGCTACCACTGCCTGGCTGGATGGCCACTAGCAGGTCACTCAAATTCTCTGCAATTCAGTTTCCTTATCATAAAATAGGCCTTATAATAATACCCACCTCCTGGAGTTTTTGAGTAGTTTAAATGGGATAACACATGTAGGATAATATTGTGCCAGACATGGGGAATTTTCAGACTTGAATTTGTGCAAAGGTTCTCCAATTTACACCAAATACACTTTGTACCTTCTGCTTACAGTGTGCCATGAATGAAAACAATAATTAGTACATAGGCTCAGTAGTAGAGCCTATGTTTAGTGTGAAGGAGGCCCTGGGTCCAAAAAGAACTAAGAAAGACTCCAGTTAGAGCCTTGAGATATAGTGACAAGGAACAGATTTATGAATGAACATTGTTCTAACAGCTGACCAGAATTTGGCTTTAATTTGTTGAATAAGGTTTTCACTTTAAAAAAGTGTTATTGTAGAGATATGAAGAAAAAGTGTAATGTTTAGAATGATGGATTTCAAAACAATGCGTCTTTGCAAATATTCAGTCCCCTACTAGAGCAAAACACCATGGTCAATAATTCCTTGAGAAAATTATTTCTCTAAATCTATCCATATAAACCAGGCTGAGTAATGGGGGGAATGAGTTTAATAAGATAGTATTAACCAGATTGTGTATCATCAAGAAAAGGTGTACTATAAAAACTGTTTCGAATTTTAATTGACCTCTGGTAACTTTAGTGTTGTAAATACTTGATTTATAGTGAGGTAGACAGTTAAAAAAAACTCTCCATTAGGCAGACTTAAAATTTTGTAATAATATTCAAGAAAATGATAACACTATGGAAGAATGAAACATCTGATTAATGCTTAACTTTGTACAACTCGAATATAAACTTTAAAAATATTAGAAATTATAACATTTGAGTGCATATAACGTTTTGTACATTAAGATGAATTGCATATTGTTCATTTCCTCTTTGCACTTTCAGTCACCTTAAATAAACAAATATATACAGCCGTAACAGAACAACAGTGCATCCAAAGCAAATGTGCATTTTAAATTATTTCTCCTGGCCAAGTCTTTTTAATCTTTTTACTTAGCATTTTATATTAGCATTTATTATCATTCCCACCCATTCTTTGACAGTTTGTAGTTCTCTGAACCAAACAAGCAACAGGTTTAGAGAGAGAGAGAGAGTAAAACCATGAGGATAAACCAAAACTTTCTGTAACAGTTACTAAAGTTCCCCTGTTTAAACCATTTCATGATCAAAGATGAGAAAGAAGCTCACTCTTCAAGGCCCTTCCCATAGACGGTGTTTGAGGATCTTACTGGCATACTGCTGCTTCTGACTACCTGGGGTGAATATTCCAGTTTCCCTGTGTGCTTTCTCCTGCTTCCTTCCAGAAGATGAATTCCCCCCACCCCTTATTGCCTGTTCCCCAATCTCCCACCCCAAGCTCTATGTAACACTTGGCTCTTTCACAGTTTCTCATTACTAAGTTTTAAAAACATCTCCTAACTGGTAATTACAATCTAAAGCAATTCTTTTGGGGGAGCCCTGGGCTATGGCGGTCTGGTAATCTTGCAGGAATGTCAGAGAGAGGGGAGGGAACATAGATGTTAAGAAACTTCAGAGACATGAGCCCTTGTCCCCTTTCATTCTCTCCTTCCCAGCTCCAGGCCTGGCTCTTTATCCCCATCCTCTCAGGGGGCCTACCATCTCCCTTCCTAAAGAAGCCCTACTACTTCTTGAGCCCTTTGCTTCTCTTCTATACCCCCTACCCTAATTACAGAGCTCCCCACTTCTATTCATTCCTTTAAATTAGGAAACCACCTTTACCTTAGAAGATGTTTGAATTTAGGCAAATTCTGTTTAAAGAAATCAATTAGAAACAGACATCTCCAAGAGCTTTTGGGTGGGCTACCTCCAGTATGGACTAACACACCTCTGTGTCTGCTGGATCAGAGGCAGGCCTTGTGGTTTCTCATTATCCTTCAGGGGATTCCATATGGACTAATTCTTGTCATTCCATCCATACCAGCTCCCTGTTCCCCCCACCAGCAACTGTAAAGCATCCAGAGACCTGAGCCCAAGGCAGTGAAATGAAGGTTCCCAGTTCCCAGTGCTAGGAGTGGCCAGGGCAGAGCTGGTAAGTTCATGGGAATACACAAGTGAGTGAAGAAGGCCCACTTCGCCCACCTTTTGTCAAAGCTCTTCTAAGGGCAGGACCCTTCCTGACTTTCCTCTTCCTTTTGCCAATTTCCCTAGCACTCTCTGCTTAAGAGGTCACAAGACTTGAGCTGAGACATGGCTGGAAAGACCCCCACCGTTCTTTCACAAGTAGAAACAACCAACGAAGAAGATGTGATCAAAGTTGATTCTTTCTCCAACATTGTTTCCCTTTTAAAACTCTCAATTGTTTTAGGTTTTTTTTTTTTTTCAATCCATGGAGCAGTTGAGAAACAGGTATACATCTCCCCCTCCCCCACTTCCCATCACACAAGGAAATTAAAAGCCACAATAATAAAGAAAAAGAAAGGAAGAGAAATCCTCCTTGGCTTGATTTTCCAGGCTGGCCAGGCAACGTGAAAATTTGTATCTCTCTCTGGGCTGGCAGGTGGAAGGTTCTGGGAGGCCTGTGCTCCCTCCTCTCCCACCTCTTTGCTCTCACGTCCAGGCTGCGCCTCCTCCAAGGCCAGCCCCTCCTCCGCCCCCTGCGATCGGGCCTCCCCTGCTGTCCCCAGGCAGCTGGAAAGGCACCACTGCTACCTGCAGCCGCAGGACTCCACCACCATGTCCTCGTACTGCTTGTAGACTACGTTATTGCCGGCATCGATGTACAGGATGCTGATGGGAGTCAATTTGGTGGGCACGCAGCAGCTGGGCGGGGTGGAGCCCGGATCCATGGAGTTCATCAGCGTCTGGATGATGGCGTGGTTGGTGGGCTCCAGGTGCGAGCGCAGCGGGAAGTCGCACACGCCCTCGCAGTGATAGGCCTCGTACTCTAGGGGCGCAATAATCCAGTCGTCCCAGCCCAGCTCCTTGAAGTTCACATGCAGGGGCTTCTTGCTGCAGCGCAGCCTCGACTTCTTGCCGTGCCGTTTGCCATGGCGGCTGGCGAAGGCCGTACGTCGCCGCCGCCGACCGGGCGATGACAGCCAAGGCCCGGCATCCGGGGCACCCGATGGTGGCGGCCAAGACCCCTCAGTGCCCGCGCCACCGGGTCCCGCAGCCTCGGCTGAACCCAGCTGTTCGCGCATCTCGGCGAACAGGTTCTTGCGCTGGGATCTGGTGAACACCACGAGCAGGGCGCGCTCCTGGGGGGACCGCACCCTCCGGCCGAAGCCCAGACTCCGCAGGTCCGGGGGTGGCGGCTGCTGGGGTCCCTGCGCGCCCGCCTCGACCTCTTCTGTATCCCGCTCGCCCCAAGCAGGCCGCAGTTCGAAGCACAGCTGCTTCCAGGGCTGGTGGCGCAGGCCCTGCCACACGTCGAAGACTTCCCAGCCAGTCGGGGGCGCCCCCTGTGGGTCCAGGGTCCTCGTGTCCAGCAGCAGGGGCGACTGGCAGGGGAAGAGCTGCATGTGGAGCTGCCCGGCCTCTGGCCCCCAGGGTACAGCGCGCGCCTGGCGATACAGCCGAAGCTCCGCGCCCACCAACTCTTCTTTGTCTGAGAGCGTGGACACATCAAATAAATACTTCTGTCTCCGGAGAGGACTGTGTGAGAGATCGTCTGCGAGATAAAAAATAATTACAGTCAGTTTCACTTAGGGGGAGATCAGCCCGGTGTGATCTCTTCGGCTGCCCCAAGGAGGAAGAGGGCGGGAGGGGGCAGGCCGGCCTGGGAGTCCAGCTCCGCCCGCCCCAGGCCTGACCACCCCCAGGCTCCTGGCCTGGCCGGTGCACTACGTGGAGAAGGGCCACTACCAGGGCAGGTCCCCTCCTGCAGGTCAGCTCCCGACTCCCAGGATGGATGTCAGTGGCTACTGGCAAGGAGGCTGCGGTAGCGGTTCCCCCCTTATCCCCCCCCAGCCCCCAACCAGGCTGTGTAAACCACTAACGTGCTCTTTGTGGTCTCCAGTCTGGTCTGAACTTCCCCCAGACCTCATGTCGGCAGGCTCCTTCTCATCATACCCTTCTCAAATGTCACCTCCTCTGGGAGGCCATCCCAGACCACCCTGATCTAAAGCAGCCTCCTGGGTCACTATCACAGGACCCTGGTTTATTATCTTCTGGGCACTTAGGGATTATCTACAATTGCCCCGTTTATATTGGTCTCCTTAGTGGTCTTTCCCAGTAACATCTCACCTTCCACCAGCGCACAGGAACTAGGACAATGTCATGTCCATCTTGCTGGCCACAGCCTCAGAGCTCTGGCAGATCTAGAGTTACTGGTTTGTCAGTAAGTGTGAAACTTCTACAGCCGAAATTCTCAATTTGGCTGACCTTTGTAATCTTCTGGAGACCTTGTTCCAGCTAATTGAATCAATATCTAAGGACAGGGCATGGAGTTTTTTTATATATTTGTTGTGAGGTTTTTGTTTTGTTTTTTTGAAGATCCAAAATGATTTAAAGGTGTGGTCTTTCTGTTGCCTACTACTTCAAGGTCACATTGCAGCCCTTCAGACAGTTTTGCTGGGGGCATTTAGTCCTAATACAATGCAAATAGAATGAACAGCTGCTATGTAACTTTTTTCTTTTTTCTTTTTTCCTTCCTTCAAAACAAAAGAGTGATGAGGCTTTCAGAAGTATGGCAGGAGAGGAGCAGTGAACCAACATCTACCATTAAGAAGACCTGCTGTCAATAAGAAATTGATATTTCTAGAAGAAGAAAACCTCAGCCCTGGCTGCTTAGACACACACAGTGACACCACCCTTCTTTCCCTCACCATCCAATTTGAAATTGTTTTGCTTAGCAGTGAATCCTGAAGGTACGTTTCTTGGAGAAAAAGAAAGCTGGGAAAGCCAGGTAGCATACTTTAAAAATCCAAGGCATATTATTCAGAACCAAGGTAAAACTGTACTCACTTTTTTTTTTTCTGTGACACATTTGAGCATGAAGCCAACCCCACTTCAATGTGCAAGCGGAAAGCTAACCAGATTTTCCTGGGCTGCCTTCCCATAAAATGTTTACAACCCAGCAAATACAAAAATCCCCAAAGCCCCCAGCTTTCCCCAGAAGCTAGTAAAGTTTGGGTCGATTTCAATAGTAAAAGTGTCACTGGGTCCCGGTCAGACCCTCACTGCTTGTCCAGATGTAGCCTGGGGGCACTGGCTCTGGAGACTCAGCCACACCCAGCCTGCACGCTGGACTGACCCAAAGAGCTAGCTGCCTCTCTCTAACACACATGCCCTGACCTGAGATGGAGCTGTGGGAAGGGTTAGAGAGGTGAAAAGGGAAAAGCTGCTGGAGGCAGTTGATTTATGGAAGCCAAGACCTTCAAACCAACCAGGGTCACATTAAAATCAGGAGGGATTCAGTGCACTTTCTTCTTAAAAAAAACCTGTTTCTGACTGTTTAGCCACTGCCATATCTCTGTGCCTGTTGCCTCAGGCTTTACTTTCCTGCCTCCTTCCTGAACTAGGGATGAGAGGCACAAACCACAGGCACTAGTTAAATATGGTGAGAGCTGACATAGTTCTAATCTTTATCCATGTGCACAGTTTTATAAAGTAGGTCATTTTACAGATGGGAAAACCAAGGCATGGAGAAATTATCTGAAGTCAGACAAGTAATAAGTGGTGAAGCTTAGATCCATACTTAAGCCTATTTAGTTCCAAGGTTGGAGCTTTTAGCCACTAAGCCCCATCGTCTGGACGCTGTAGTCAAAGTATGGGAGTCCAAAAGCAACCAAGAGTGGCAAGGCTTAAAGGAAGTGGATATGGTCTACACTGTATTTGCAGAGCTTGGTAGGAAACAATCTTGGACTCCGTTAGAAAATCATGTCCATTGCTGCTTACATAACTCTTGAGATGACTTTTCACAAGCTGGAGAACATTGGGCACATCTAAAGAGTAATGATTTACTTATTTCTCTCTCATGCAATATGGAGAGATCAGCCTGCTTTGTTTTCATTCTTTTTTCTCAGGTGTAGACTAATAAGTGGTTAGTCTGCATGGCTGAGTCAAAACTGAGGCCAGTGTAAGCAGAGAAGCCTTGGGGTTGCTAAAGATCTTTCTAGCAACACCAGCCCACACTTACTTTCCAGGCTCAGGAAAGAATGCAAATGAGCCTTTGGCTTCCATCTGCTCCTTTCTCTTCCCACACCAGTTCCACTCACACTTGATGGGTCCTCACTGCACTCATGAGGACACCCTAGCCCATCCAGCTCAGAATCTAAAGCCTGTAGGTGCACATATACATCAGTGTTGTGTGTGTGATCCTCTCTTGGGAAGAGAGGTCTGATCTAACAACAACAACAAAAAAAAAAAGTGGTCCAGGATTCAGGAATACTTGAACAAAAATTCTGTGGCCCAGGTACCCGGAGGTTGATCTCGAATAGTTGCTATCAAAGCCACTAAAACCACAATGGTCACAGAGGAACTTATTAGAGATGCAAATTTTCTCAGGCTCCAGAGGTTTGGGATGCATTTCTGGTAAACTCCTGGAACATGCTGTTTCCGCAAGGCCAAAGAATCACACTTTGAGAACCACAGATGTGGTAGGCTTGTCTTCTAGGCTCCTTGGATTCCCACTGTATGTGGATGAGATCATCAGTGGAGGGACTGAACAAAGCCCTCCAAAGCCCCCAGATCAAGGCAGGATTGTCTCCTTCCCAGTCCCCACAGCCGCCCTCACATTTAAAAAAAATCCTTTCAGTCACATGCTTTCTCCAGAACCTCTAAACAGAGGGTCAAAGATGGTAGCTGCTCTAGAGCTCCCCTTCTGACCCCATTCCTTGCCTATCTGAACCTGCTTAGAGCCATGTTTCACAGAAGTAACCAAGAAAGGACATTGACATGGAGAGTGCAGGTACCACCATGCACTGTGACCTGTGGACTCCACCTGCTGATCTGTGGGCAGGAAGCTGGTCCTTGCTACCTCCTCACACAGCCTTATCTCCCTTTATGTCCTGTACAAATGAGGGTGATATCATCAGTTGACTGACTTCACTCCCTTGACTAGAGATGTGCACTGTTCATTTCAAAATCGGAGGTGCTTTCTTATATCCTAGGCCCTTGACATGGAAAATGATCAGTACTACATCATGGGAGCTTTTTATTTTGCTTTTAATTTGCATCAACCTAGTTTGTTACAACTTAGTTCATACCCATTAACTCAGTGTTTGCTGAGTATTAGACATCTAAACGTTTTGGTTTACAACTGCTGGATTTGTGCTTATCCTCTTTCCCTGGGAGGTGGGTAGAGAGATAAAAGAAGGAAGAGGAGGAAGAAGAGGAGAGAAAGAAGATGGAAGAAAAAACAAATGACTGGCATATCCTTCCTAACTAGGTCTGCAAGTTGGTAAAGGGCTGAGAGCACCTCATACTACACTTCTGCTTTTGGAATTTTGTTTGTTTGTGACAGGAGCTTCGATATTTAGCCCAGGTTGGCCTCTACCTCCCCAGTACCAGGATTTTACAACACAATGAGCTTCTGGTGTGGAATTTATAAAACAGAAAATAGAAAGGATATATTGATCAAAGGGTGGAACGTTTCAGTTAGAATGAATATAATTTTTTAAAGATTCAATTGGAAAAAAGGAGGGAAGCAAGTAAGGAAACAAAAACAGAAGCTAGATACTATTGTGCCCATTTTAAATGTGGAAGCTAGCTGAGACAGGTAAAGGCATCAGTTCACTGGAGCAGAAAAGAAAAGATGCCTATCCAATAGGAAAAGGGGACCAGGAACTAGAGAAAAGGTTAGATCAAAAAGAATTAACCTAGAAGGTAACACACACGCACAGGAAATCAATGTGAGTCAACTCCCTGTATAGCTATCCTTATCTCAACTAGCAAAAACCCTTGTTCCTTCCTATTATTGCTTATACTCTCTCTACAACAAAATTAGAAATAAGGGCAAAATAGTTTCTGCCGGGTATTGAGGGGGTGGGGGGAGAGGGAGGGGGTGGAGTGGGTGGTGAGGGAGGGGGTGGGGGCAGGGGGGAGAAATGACCCAAGCCTTGTATGCACATATGAATAATAAAAGAAAAAGAAAAGAAAAGAAAAGATGCCTATGGCACCAAAGACCAGTGGCCTGGGAACCAGAGCCCTAGAAGGGTGACCTGAGGGAGTGAGGGACCATGGCAGCAGGATAGCCCACCCAGGTGCCTCCTGCTGGGGCTGTTTCCTTGGACCAGTCTGCGGAGGGTTTCCAAAACCCAGAAACTTCATTTCAATTTGCATCAACCAGACAGGCCCAGATGTACCTTTTTTCAAGACTTCACTGAGATATATATATACAGCTTAGGTCCCTCACCAGCCCTAAGGGTGCACCTGCAGCTCCAGCTCTCAGGACCTGGAAGGTCCTTTGTGGCAGATTCTTGCTATGGAGACCAGAGCCTTGAAATTGCTGACCTTTGCCTAAGCATCCTCACTAAGGTGGGGATGTGGGAGTAACCCACACAATTCACCAGTGAGCTCTTGCTTGACCCCAGTACTGTTGTTGCCTGGCCAGCCTGATACTTGTAACACTAGTGTAGCCCTTACTGTGAGCTGAGCATGATCTAAATTCTCAACTTCTAATAACTCATTTAACCTTCAGAAACACCTATGATCTGATCATTACACATT